TTCAATAATGATTGCTCTTATTTATAAAGAAAATTACATTTTTCTTCTAAAATGGCATTTTGTATAATGAAGTGGAAAACACTCTTCCTTTCCTTTTCAATCCCTTGCTAACTTTTTTTTTAAACAAAGAGTATCCTTAGAATCAAGTCTTAATTCTAGTAACATTTGAAAGATACATTCATTTCTTTACAGCATGAAAGACATACAAATATCATTTTTTCCTTTTTAAACAATGAAGCAAAAGAAGTTAACAGTTTCAATCTTTTGTCCATAGAAAAATATTTTCTATATCATTTATGCAACAATAGGTAGGAAAATTCTACAGTGTTTAACTGAAACTTCTACGAGCATTTACAAGGCTTTCAAACATTTTCATTCCTGTACTGAAAATTTTAAAAGGTTTCAGGAAGTTAAACATTAGAACCTCCTCCTAAAATTGTAGCCTTTAACTTGCAATATTGCTAATACCTTTCGCTTTGTAAATTTAAAAAAAAATCGGTTTACTTATTTATGCGCTGAGCCCTACCTCGTCAATGTTGATGGATGGTACCCCAGTGGATTCTACCTCTGGCTGCCCATTTAGCTTGGATTACTACAATAAAGATAACGATGACTAGGAAGCTTTAGAAATCAACAGTAAACGGCAGTAGAAAAACATACAAATAAGTAGCAGCAAATTTAGATATGGAAACAGAAATAACTATTTGGTGTCTACCCACAACAATTTCACCCAGATTATAAAAATAAAATGTCTCATTTCTCACTGAAATAGGGCTTGTTTTTGATAACATTGAAAGGCTCATTGTAGGAATTGCTGCTGAGAATAAGTGAAGTCTGTGTGTAATAAAACATTGTGTTGAAAATAGTTGCAGATTTTGTAAAGTAAGTTAAACCCAAAAAGTACAATTTAGGGATTAATTTCATGGTCTCTCTATAAAATTGCTGAAATTATCTATTCCCAGTTAGCCCTCAAATAAGTTTTGTTATTATACAAATTCCTTTGGCGCTATACAATTTTCTAAAAACTTTATAAAACAGTTGCTACAAGCTGTGTTGTGATCACAGAGACCCCAATAAATCTTTGCCAACAGATCAGTAATTCTGATATTTGATGAAGTTAATCCAGTGGGTTTTAAAAACAGGTATTTTACTTAGAGGAAACACCAGAAAAAAAAAAAGGTTGCAGAAATTGTGGTTGGCTAGCTGAAGCAAACGTGGGAAGAAGTAAGCTGTGTTAATATAGTTACTTTGTTGATATGGCAGCTTACGTACAAGAAAGCTGTGGCATAATTTCTCTCTCTCCTCTTATTATTAAAAGATGTTGGTTTCAACAAATATTTACCTTAATGTAGGTGACAAATGCAAATTCACCTAAACTACAAAATAATTACTACAAAATAAAAGAGGTGTAAACATATCCCACATTATTGTGGCATAAATAATTTTTATGAATTCAAAACTACTTTGGCAATCTTACCATCAGAATACCTTTAAATATTCAAAACACGGGTATTAAATAGAACATTGTTAAAAATTCTTGTTTCCTTCTCCCTTTCCGATAAGATTATAAAACAAGTAATGCTTTAATTCTACTGCACGTTCACATTATGAACATAAATTATTTAATTATAAGTGGACATACATTCTAAATCTTAGTTCTATGTTTTAAGTGCTTTTAAAAATTAGACCTCTAATTTGCATTTCAGAATGTTTTCACACTGCATGTATATCAGCCTAAACAAGCAGAGTTGGGGCCCTAATTAGGATTGCTTTTTAAAGCCTACTTGTTCTCTAACTTAAATGACATCTTCTAAGGTCATCAAGTTATTAAGTAAAAACACTGCCTGAGTATAACTCTTGAACTGAAATAGACTAAACTTCACAAGAATTTATGATATTCACATACTTTGCCTATAAGAATAGAAGGTGAGACTGGATGAAATCTTTCAAGTTTCTTTCAGCGCTCAGGTTGTAGTACTTGTGGTGCAGACGGGAGGTCTTTGTTCCAATACCTGATCAGACCTGGTCAGACCTGCCAACAGATTATAAACAACTCTACAGGTACCACAGTCCTTTACCCCTGTTTGTTAGTATTAGCCTTTGTGAAGCAACACGTGCATCATCGCACAAAAGCATCTCTGTGTGTATATATTAGCACTTGAAACCTTCAAGTAACTGTCTTAATGGCTTAACATAGCTTACACACTTGAAGTCAGTTTTTAATCTGTAAATTTTCTCTTTACTCTTAACCAAGATGGTCAACACCGCGCGCCCCCCCCCACCCCAACTTGTGCTGGGCAGGCCGCGCAAAGGAAAGGGTTGCTTATGCTATTTACTCTGCCTCGGTTTTGGATGTATGCACTGGTTTAACAAATACTACCAGGTATTCCTCTTGTGAATGCGGTCTATTCCAAAATATTCCTCAACCTATGTACACAGTGCTGACACAAACCAGGTGTTCAGTATAAGACCTAAAATGAACCTGGTAAAACCATCCTAAATCAGAGAGGAAAGGTTTTTACAAACATTTCTTAGCATTTCCAAAAGCCCCTTGATTCACCAATACCTATTTCCAGCTGTGAGAATAACAGTCAGCACTGATTTCTTGAGTGTGTGTCTTGCAGGGGGGTGAGGGGGAAACTGGCCGCTGGAGGGGGAGGGTAGTTTAGATACAAGAAATCTGGCATTTTGTTACACACTATTACATTGATATGTGTGGAATCTAGAACTACTTGGTGTATGAAAGCTGGGATTATTCCTAGAACCCTACTTAGATGGACAAACAGATTAAAAACATTCTCAGGCAGGGACTTCCCTGGCCATCCAGTGGTTAGGACCCGGCGCTTCCACTGAAAGGCAGAAGTGCTCACTGCCAACAAATTATTAGAGTTACTCTCAGAAGTGTAAACAGAGCCCTAAATCAAAGAACATGCCAACCATGACATTTATCTGTTTATGTCTATATAACTTTATCTTTTTATCTATGGTTGTCATATTCTATCCATATAGTTAGGAAAGGTTTTCTTTTTAATTCAGGTGAAAAACTACTGCCAAAACAGTTATTAATTCTTAGATCCCTGACATTTTATTCTTTCACTTTCCAACTTACCATGATGTTGTACAGCAGCCTGAATCACATCTATCTGCTGGCAAAGAGCGCAATGTTCAAAAAGGACTGTACAGAGTTATTTACTATCTTATACTGTCTTGACTGTGAAATTCAGAAATAGATACAAGAATTTCTCTTTGATATAAAGGTCATGCTTACTTTTTTCTTTAAAAAAAAAGGTAAAATATTTTAATACAGTAATGTATTTGGTATCTTGGCTATTAATGTTTAGGACTTAACTTCCTAAAATTTACTCTTATGGATTTTGAATATTTGAAATAACATCATTTAGATTATACTGAAGATTTAAAAATGTACATTCTCCCGCTCATACTAAATGACATTCCAAAATATCTACCATTCAACTGTAAATTTTATCAAGACTATACAGAAATATTCAGAAACCACTAGTAAGTGAATCTATTTTAACCATAATCCATAGAAAGTAATTGTGTAATATAACATTTCAATAGCTGAGAAAATTTCCACTTACATTAAAATTGGGCAATTTCAAAGTTCTATCTCTCTGAGGACTTAAAAATTAAAAAACCTGATGAGGAGAATATACACATCCTTAAAGGGAATCAGGTCCTCCATCAGGCTGGACAATCAAAACCCTCCATATTAACATGCTTATAACTTAATAAGTATATATAAACTGGAGCAACTTAATTGTACACAGAAATGACAAGAAAGCCCTCATTTCAGCTACTGAGGGATTACAATTAGAAACACTGAATGACGTTTCATCCCTCGTTTGTGGTCTGCCAACCAACAGACCAGTGTGAACAAAGCTTGGTAAGAAATGAAATGAATGCTGATCTTTTACTTAGTGATAGAAACAAGTCACAATTAGCTGCTCTAACTTTAGAGTTTCCATATGTTTAACTTTAATGTATATAGTAGATGCTATTTCTAAAGTCAGGGATAAAATAAATAAGAAATTTGAAGAATAAAGCATCTTTTAACTTCAGCTGCTAAACTGTAACCCCTGTCCCTCAGGAAAGGAATGTGCAGGTTTTGAATAATTCCATAGCAGCAGAGCGTTCACTCAGTAGAACACAAATTATCTTGGCTTCTTGTGGCAAAATACAGGAATTGAGTAAGAAATAGAATTTCATTACTCTTCTTTGACTGCATAACTCTCAATACGAGAAGCTATTTTAAAAAATGTGAACTGATTCAAAATGCATAAAACTGTAAATGTACAATATACATACATACCTCCTAGTGGGGTCAAAGGAGGAGTGCCTTTTCATTAGACATACAAAGACGTCTCAAGGCACTTAAGGGGTTAAGACACAATGCATGCATTCCTTTACATCAAGTATGTGAAATCACATGATTTGGAATAAGCCAACCTTATGATAAATATAAGTTACATTATTAAATTCAAGAAAATCTGTAGGGCTTCCCTGGTGGCACAGTGGTTGAGAGTCTGCCTGCCGACGCAGGGGACACGGGTTCGTGCCCCGGTCCGGGAAGATCCCACATGCTGCGGAGCGGCTGGGCCCGTGAGCCATGGCCACTGAGCCTGCGCGTCCAGAGCCTGTGCTCCGCAATGGGAGAGGCCACAACAGTGAGAGGCCCGCGTACCGCAAAAAAAAAAAAGAAAGAAAGAAAAAAAAAAGAAAATTTGTAGATTCTTATTTATACTTTCTATAAGATGCTGGTAAATTGACAATGTGCAGCATTTCCTGGGAAAAGCAAATTCCACCTTTCTTCTTCCAAACAGCAGGTCTCTATGGGGGAAAGTGTAG